ACACCTGGGTTCCCCTGCAGGTTCCTTCATGCGTGAGGCTCGTCTGAACGTGTGGAGAGTGGTCTTAAGCATGGCTGTGACTGGTTCCGAAGGTCTTCAGCTGCTGGGGATATCCTCGGGGCGGGGAGGGAAACTCAACCTGCCCCTCTACAAGGGGGCCCGTTGAGGGCAGCCAGCCCCGAGGGCAGCCTATATATATATATAGGCTGGAGCAATAGCACAGTGAGTAGGGAGTTTGCCTTGTGCGCAGCCAGCCCGGCCGAACTGGGTTTGATTCCTCCATCCCTCCGAGAGTATCTTGCCCATATGGCAAAGCCTGGCAAGCTACCCGTGACGTATTTGATATGCCAAACACAGTAACAACAAGTCTCAAAAGGGAGACAATACTCGGCCAGCTCGAGCAAATTGATGAATAATGGGAGGACAGTTTGTTTATATATATATATTATATATATAATATATATAAATAATATATATATTATTGAGACCAAAATAACTTGGGCCAGAGGGATAGAATAATAGGTAGATATGGAAAAAATTTATATAAACTGTCTTTGCCATGAGTATCTGTATCTACTATAACGATATTTATGCCAGAAAAAAATGCAAAGATAGTGAAGACACATGTGCACAACATTGTGATGGAATTGTCAGATGGCTTCAGCATCTCATATTTGCAATTATTGTATGAGTGTCCTTTTGACTGAAACATTTACAGAAAGAAAAAACTATTTGTGGTACAGTAAGAGTAAATAATTTTAAGTGGTACAGAAGAGTTGTGACATAGTATGCAGGACTTCACTTATAAATGAGTAGTAATAAACATCAGAGGTGCATTATTTAATATTTTAACATTTAGAGAAAGAGTTATCCATCAGTTCATTATAAATAATTACATTAAGAAATGACTTGTCTGGAACAAACACCTAGAGAAAAAGTTACCTATTTTCTTGACTCATTACAGTGAATTGATCAGGGGCTGGAGCAATAGCACAGCAGGTAGGGCGTTTGCCTTGCACACAGCTGACCTAGGTTCGATTCCCAGCATCCCATATGGTCCCCCGAGCACCACCAGGAGTAATTCCTGAGTGCATGAACCAAGAGTAACTCCTGTGCATCGCCAGGTGTGACCCAAAAAGGAAAAAAAATAAAATAAAGTGAATTGATCAGTGAAAATAATGTAGGGGATATTATAAATCCTTATTTGAAAATAAAGGTAGAAGTGTCATTATAAAAAAATCTAAAAGAGACGTTTGCCACCTTTGGGAGGGCCAGCCAGCACTATAAAATGTTTTTTAAAATGGCATAAAAATAAATGACTTATTCCAGACAAAAACTACCACTTAATAATCATGAGTTATACATTACTGAATTGAAATAAATCTTTTTTCCCCAATATAAATTAAGTTTGAAATGATCAACAAGCTAATTTTCAAGTTTTTCCTTCTCACTAAACCAATTTTACAAATGATTGTGCATAGGGGACATGCAAGGGTGAGACATCTTTAGCCATGCCGTCTGTATAACGGGGCATCCACATATGCACCAACACTGAGTTAAACCACACTGGTTTGTTAAGTTGGCTGGTTGGCCTTCAGAGATGTGGTGATTCTCACAGTATATGGAAAAGTTATTTATTTATTTGCAGAGATGGACAGGAGGGTTTGGGCTACAACTGGCTGTTCTAGCTCCTAGCTCTGTGCTCAGGTATCAGCCCTGGCTGTGCCAGGGGACCATATGCAGTGCTGGGGATCCAAACTGCTATACTATCTATACAGACTGAAAATTGATTTAGATGACCCCTAAGATGTTGGTACTGAAATAATTTTCCTCTTGAATGTGTTCTGATATAAAGATCTTCAAATAAGATTTACTGTAGCAAAACTGTACCTTATAGTGGACTTATAACTTGACTTGGAAGTCACTAGTTGTGTGACATTCACAGTGTGAAACTGTGTGTTTCAGTTTGGGCAAGACTCAGCTTTTCTAAGCTTCTCTGTTCTTAGCACATCTCAGTACTGTCCTGAGAATTCATTAGATGACATCATTCACACATCATCCATATGACATTTAAAGTATGTGTGGTTTTCCTTCTTTCCTTTTTTACAATATACTTTATAATCAAACATCTGGGGTGAATTAAGATCTGGAAAGTATAGTTCTGAAATGAGTTCATTTGCCAGACTTCACATTTCATTTTTAAAATAATAAACTTGATTAAAATGTGATTGGATGCTTTATGGTACAGCATCTTTTTTGTTTTTAAGACAAGTATGTGAAAACAGATCGGTAATTAGAGGCTCATATCTTTAAAACTTGCAATTGGAGGAACAATTACTTGACTGAAGCTTTCCCTTCTGATAGCTATCCAGAATAAATAAATACATTTGCTAGAGCAGGCCCAGTAACCTCTCCATTGTGAGACTTGTTACTGTGTTTAGCATATTGAATACATCACAGGTAGCTTGCCAGGTTTTGCCGTGCTGGCGAGATACTCTCGGTAGCTTGCCGGGCTCTCTGAGAGGGGCGGAGGAATTGAACCTGGCTCGGCCAGGCCGGGCGGGCCGTGCGCAGGGCAAACACCCTACCACTGTGCTATTGCTCCAGCTAAATAAATAAATCCCAAACCCACAAACAAAACAAAATATGGCAAGCATATTATACACACCATACAAGTATTTTTTTTTGTGTGTGGAAGAATTCAAATTTAACTAAGGAAAACTCAGTAATAACGACTTTATTTAAATAAATTCAAATAAACTGAAATTGCATAGGATACATTAATTTTTTTAGGGGTTCTTCTACCCAAAAATTAAGAAAAGAATCTGAAGTAAATAAACACCCCATAGTTATTGTTAATCAATTTTTCTTCATAATTTTCTTAAAATTCTATTTTACTTTGTTAACAAAGAAGGCTACTCTATGGGTAAAAGTTACCCTGATTTAGCTAGCTAATTAGCTAGCTAATATAGTTAAACTTATTTAATATCAACAATCACAGATAAGTTATGGAGTTGGGTGGCGGTGGTCCTGGAGAGTTCAGGGGTTAAATAGGAATTGGACAAAAAAGATCTCAGGGCAGGCAGCCTGGACTCCCGGTGCATAAAGATTATATAAAAGATCCTTTTTCCATTTTTCTTCTCTGCATCCTGTATCACCCACTGTTTCATCCACTGTTTCACCACTAAACCAGAGCTTTTGCTATTCTGGGCATTATCCGCCTCCAGGAAGGAAGTGACTGGAACAAGGATGGACTCTGGTCTGCAGAACTAAGACCTCTTGACGGTCCCACAGCATTTCTATTCTTGGCTAGACCTTGCCAAAACCTGCCCCTCAATGCAAGGGGGTCTCGAATATTTTTATGTGGAATTAAGTTAAGGTTCCACTAAGTACTACAATGCAAAACGTCTAGCTTTTGGCTTCTGGTAAGAACAGTCAACAGCTAGTTTTCTTCAGTGCTACACAGCTCTTTATTTACAGCAGTGTTTAAAACAGGGATCCCAGCAGCTGTCAACAGCAGCTTCTCTCTAGCAGCTCTCCCACGGAAAGTTTTTGTTTTGTGGCCACACCCAGCTGTGCTCAGGGCTTGGTCCTGGCTCAGGGGACTATATGGGTGCCATGGTGGAACCGTGAGCGTCGAACCATCAGATGTGCGCCAGACAAATGCCCTACCCGCTGCATTATCTGATCAGATCACCTAAAGACCTATCAGATTGATAAAGACTGGTCAGTTTGCCTCTTATATGCACCACCGCGATGGTTTAAAAAGAAGCTCCTGCCTCCTTCATTTCTGAAGAACTGGGAAGGATAGATAGTAGAAGGGTTTTCTAATACAGCATAATAAAGGAGCCTCCACTAGGTTGGGAAGAGCCTGGGCACGGGAGGGCTGACAGCTGTCCTTAGTAGCTGAGTGCGAAGGCCGGCAGGGAAAGGGTTTTTGCTTTCCTTCTGGGTCTCCAGCCCAGTGGAGCCTCTACCCCCTGCCCTTGTAGGTGCAGATTCTCCAAAGGCCCCAAGGGTCTGCACCTTCTCCTGAGCAAAAGCCTGGAGCTAGGGGAATGCACGCCAGTCTACCGCTCCTACGGTCAAACCGGCCAGTGTGCGCGGACTCAGCTCTGCGAGCCCAGGAAAGGGAAGGTCTAGACAAAGAAACGGTAGTGGCCACACGGAGGAGCGGGGTCGGTGCAGCCGGTCCCTGCCCCAAGCAAGACTGGCACGCCCACAGACAGACGTGGCCCGAGCCTCAGAGGCTGGCCGGGATCACCGGGAAACGGAGGAGGGGCGGGTTGCAGATGAGCGCGTCGGGTTCCGAGCTCTCCAACAAAGCACCCTGGCACCTCCTAGGTGCTTTGCCATGCGTACAAGAAATCGTGCCAACGCCCCACTTTACAGCGGGCCCCTGAACCCCTGGGAGTCAGCAGCAGGCCGGCCGGGCATCATCTTTTGCAGAGCGAGGCCTCGGCAGCTCCCGGCCGCGGGCCACGGGGAAGCAGCCACGACTGCAAGAAGCGCCTCGAGGCCCGAGCGCCGCCGGGCGGAAGCGCCGAAGCCAACCCGGAAGTGCCGCGTGAGCGCCCGGGAGCGGCGGGGCCGCGCGTGACGCACTTCCGCCGGGCGCCTTCCGGCTTCCGAGGGGGCCGGGAGCCGTCACCGCGCTCGCCCCGAGCCCGAGCGGCTCGGTCCGTCCCCGCCCCCCCGCTCCGCGGCCGCCCGAGCGGCGCCGCCCCGCCGTCGCGGCGGCCGGCCGGGGGCTCGGGAGCCCGGGCGCGTGTCCGAGGCGCCGCGCGGCGCGGCGGGCGGCGGCGCGGGCCTGCTGCTGGGCGCGCTGCGTAGCGGGCCTTGTTGCGTCTGGGCGGGCGGGTCGCGCCCCGCCGCCGACCCCGCAGTCCGGACCTGGCGCGCCTGCCCACCACCCCCGCCGCCGGCGATGGCCTTGGTCGCGCCCGCCGCCCGCCGGAGCCGCTCGGACGCTGCGCCCTGAGCGCCGCCCGCCGCAGCGCTGTCATCCGCCCGGCGCGCCGGGGCCGCCATGGACCGCGCCGGGCCGCAGAGCCCCGTGACGCTCGTCGTTAAGTCGCCGAATCACAAGTTCCGCGACCAGACCGTTCGCTGCTTCGCCGACTGGACCGTGGGCCGCCTCAAGGCGCACCTGTCCCACGTGTACCCCAACAGGCCCGTAAGTCCCGCGACCACCCGCCCCGGCATGGCGGCCCTCGCGCCGCCGCTTTGTCCTCGGGGTGGGCGTGAGGCTCGTGGTCCTGCGTCTCTAACGCCCCCCCCCCCCCCCGGCCCCCATCCGCGATTTTTCCTGCAGAGGAATTGGGTCCGTTTAATTCCACCATCGTGTGCATCTTTTTGAGATGACCGGACTATGTATAAATAAGACTGATGCTGTTGGTCCCTCTGAGAACGTGGCTGGGTAAGTCCAGCAGAGTCTTAGGTCCCCAGTCGGATTGGAAAGGACACGGCTGGCTCGGAGGACGCGCTGGAATCGTTGGGTGTGCTAGAGTAGATGAGAGTTGGAGAGGTCACAGCCTCCGTGGTGGAGGACCTTCATTCTGAATGACCGTTGCTCAGTGATTATTTAATTAATAGGCTTGGATTTGGGGGTGGGAGATACTGGTATTCGTCACGGTTATTGAAGCGGAATCTGGTGGAAGGTGACGGCTTTTCAGGCTTAACTTATTTAGTGCACGTAAGAAAAGGAGGATGTGCCTGGCCTACATGAAGATATTATTCATGAGTTTGAGCTTCGTCAGTATTGCATATTAAAATTAGTTAGGCCTTTTGGGGTTGGAGAGATAGTACAGCGGGGAGGGCATATGTCTGGCAGGTGCTCTACAGGGTTTGGTCTTTGCCTCCCATATGGTTCCCCCAAACACCGTCAGTGATTCCGGAGTGCAGGGCCAGGAGTGACCCCCGAGCATGGCCGGGTGTGACCCCCAAATTTAAAATACATCATAAATTTAGTTAAGCCTGGAGATTTATAGGTTAAGAATAGGGCAGTTATGCTGAAAACAAAACAAAAAAGGAGATTTAGAAAACAGTTGGCATTAGCTGGATTTGTCAGCAGTATGGGATACAAATGTTACCAGGGAAATATTTAATTTTTGATGGGGAGTCACCTCCAGATAGGTACTTGTCTGTCTGTGCTCATGGCTTATTCCTGGTTCTGTGCTCAGGTATCACCCCTGACTGAGCTTGGGGAACCATATGTAATGCAAGGAATCCAACCCTTGGCTGTGCGCAATGGAACCACCTTAACTCCTGTATTGTCCTGTCAGCTCTTAGCAGGGAAATTAAAAAAAAAAAAACCCAACCCTTAAGGTGTTTAATACTTGGGACAATCTTGTGGACTTTGATTTATTCTTTAAAAATTAAGATTTACAGGATAGCAATTTGTTATAAATTTTTTTGCTTTACAAAAGATTTTCTACCGCATATAATTAGCTTTGAAGTGGAACACAGCTCTTTGACTTCAAAGAATAGTTAGAATCGAAAGTTAAAGGTAGCTTGTAATATAGCTGGAATACCTCATTAGTTATTTATGTGTCTTCATTGTGTAATTAAACCATAAGGAACTTGATGTGGATGGACCAAGATGTTTCCCTATTCTGAAACTTTTTATTTTATGAAAACGCCTGAAAGTGTGTAACTCTTACCTACTTTGGCTTTTTGGGCAAAGAGTTCAGTCCTAACCACACAACTGGAGGCATGTTGGTGCTCATGGGTGTGGGTAAGTCAGCTGTCGGGTACCAGATCAGTTTGAAACTTCCTTACACCCCCACTGTGTCACTCTTGCTACTTGTACATACTGGGGACACTTAATCTGGATCAAATAATCTGCAGTTTATTGATTATCTAACCTTGTGCAAACCTGACTTTTTTTCTTCAAGTTTTCTCTAAGTGACATCTAGTTAATTTCTAGGTTAATAAGATTGGGTAGATCAGGGGAAGGTTATTTTCTTAGAGCTTTACCGAAAACCTTATATTGTTACTAGATTTGATTAGCTTACATCCTAACTCATCACTTGGGAATTGAAGTATTGTTTCAGCAGATTAACTCTTTAATAAACCCTGAAATCTTGGACATTGGAATTGAAGTGTTAGTTTGCTCAACGGGGGGGCTAGAGCGATAGTACAGTGGGGAGGGCATTTGCCTTGCATGTGGCCAACCCGGGCTTGACCCCCGGCATCCCATATGGTTCCCCCATGCACCGCCAAAAGTAATTCCTGAGTGCACAGCCAGGAGCACCCCCAGAGCATTGCTGGGTGTGACCCAAAAAAAGCAAAAAAAAAAAAGTTTGCTTTACAAGGTTGCTTAGAAGAACATTTTGCAACATTAACAGGTAAAGGAAGTTTAAGTCCTATCACTTGCAGTGACTAAGGATTGGTTTTGAGCTTAGGTGTCCAAGTGCTTTTTGGAATTTAACAGATCTTTTCTTAACATGGGCTGATAGGGGTGGTAGAGGGGGGAGCAGGCTCAGGACTTCATTGCTGCTGGGTCACGGCAGAGGACTCCAGAAAGGAGAAAGACTGATGGCAGTGTTCAGTATGCTTCCAAGGGTCTTCATGGGACAGGAATGGACAGCGACACGTTGGGAAATGACTAGGAGGTTCAGGAGGAAGAAGGAAGGAGATTAGAAGTTGTTCCAGGCGCGCTGCAAGAATCAGGCGTTGACTGTATGCTGCTAATGGAATCTTGTTGCACATGTAACTGTGTAAATTTTAAAGTTTATACTTAGATGCTGATTTGATTACAGATAATTGGCACAGTGATATTTTATGTGCATCTGCCCATGTGTGGTGTTGATGATTGAACCTGGGCTTGACCGCTCGCAGGACAAGTGTCCTGTGTGCTGTGATCTCCGTGATACCTAAATTACAGAGTTCAGGTTTATTGGGAAATAGAGACCTTTAAGTCTGTTATGTGACTTACACAGGAATGTACTGTGTGCTGGAGGGACTCCAGAAGGGTATGGTCAGGGTATGGAGTCAGGGTGAGCTTATATAGCTGTTTAAAGAAAAGGTTCACAGGGACATAATTTTAGGCAAGCAGGAGAATTCCTTTCATTCTTCCTTCCGTTTTCGGCCACTCCCTTTGATACAAGGGCTTACTCCTAGCTCTGTGCTCAGGGATTACTCCTGGCAGTGTCCAGGGGACCATATGTGTTGTCAGGGATACCACCAGGGTGCAAGACAAGTGCTTTTTTCAAACCCTTGTACTATCTCTCTTGCTCAGGAATCACGGTAGTGCTTGCCCTCCCCCCCACCCCCCAGCTAAAGATATGCTAATGATTGTTAAAAGATCCACAATGGGCTCTAAAAGGGGGGGGGGGGGTATTTTCCAGTAATGAAGTAAGAAAGTTGCCCTTTCTATAAAAGTTTACAGTCATATAAAAGTCCCTAAAGTCTTGAACATTTGTGCAGTTTTGTCTTCCAGTGGTGTTTATAATTGGTGTAAAAACTGGGAAGTGCACCAGTTCATGATGATGGTATCAGGTAAACTTTTCTTACCTTGGGTTTTAGTAATTTTAATTGGGCAATAGAACTTTTTGGGCAATTAGGTTAAAGCAGCTGGAATGTTGCTTTTATCTGGAATGCTGTAATTCCTGTCTTTGGACTATTCAGTGCTTTTGGGCAGGATGTTCCTGATAGAGTTGTTTGGTTTCTGTGCTTTACTCCATCAGCTGCTCATGTAGGGTAAAGCAGCAGAGGTAGCTAGTGAGAGGCAGTATCTGAGAAAGGATTTGTTGGCTTGGATTAGGGTGCGAGTGACAGGAAGAAAATTGGTGATGGTAACGGAAAGAATACAGTATGAAAATCTGTGTAGCTAATCTCTTTAGTAGAGACCTTTAATTGATAATTTAATAAGCACTTTAGATTTACCAGCTGAATTTAATCTACTGAATTCTTTAATACTTTAAATGTAAGTATATCATTAGACATCATCTCATACTCAGCACTCAGAAAGAAATATAACACTCAAATGCTTTTGGTTTGTGGTGCTGGGCGACACTTGAGCTCTACAGGAGGTGCTTTCTTTTCTTCAACATGCAAAAGAAACAAAACAAATATCCTTAAAACAACCCTCTGCTGTAAAGTCTAGCTTCTTAAATTGTAGTTCATGACCCCATAGGGGATAGCAGAGTTGAGTATGGTGACAGTAGTTTAAGGTTTCTGAATGTGTTATGATCAACAATCAGTCCAAAATTAACTGCATCATGAATCTGAGCTGTTTCTGGCAGGACTTGCCTGTGCAACCTTTCTCAGGCAAAAAGGGGCTCCATGTGGAGAAGTTTAGAAAGCCCTCTCTAAAGACCCTAGCATCCTAAGAGTGTGTATGCAGAATAATGAGAAACTCTCAAAGACTCTACTTATGTGTAGTTAGAATACAAACTGTTGTAGAATAATTAGAATAATTTCTCTCTAGAGATGCAGCTCTTGTGTAAAGTGATCTTGGCAAGATGGCCTTAGAAGTTGACAGATAATTTCAGGAAAGCAGACCAAGAATTTGAGTTTTCCCATTCTTGAAAATTACAATTCCAGTTGCTTGATGTATTTGAATAATTTTTTCTGGTTATATTAGGAGGAAATATAAGTAAATTTAATTTTTAAATTTTATTTTTTATGTAATAAATCACCATGCACTCAGGAATTACTCCTGGCGGTGCTCAGGGGACCATATGGGATGTTGGGAGTTGAACCTGGTATGCCCTGCCCGCTGTGCTATCACTCCAGCCCCGGTCGACCGCGCAACACATCAAAAGACACTCCCTACCTACCCATTTTTCATAATTATACCATATTTGATGGGAGTCAGACAGTAGGCAACAAATCATAGAGGGAAATATATATATGCCTCTTGGAGAGCCCGGCAAGCTACCTGTGAGTATCCCGCCTGTGTGACAGAGCCTGGCAAGCTACCTGTGGCGTATTTGATATGCCAAAAAAACAGTAACAATAATGGGTCTCATAGAGCCTCCAATACAGCAGCATTGGGAAAGACAAGTAAGGATAGGTTGCCAAAATCTCAGGACTGGGATGAATGGAGACGTTACTGGCACCCGCTTTAGTAAATGAATGAACAACGGGATGACAGTGATACTAAGTCAAAAAATTTGAGCTAAAGAGATTTTTTCCTTTTATTTTTTCTTTTTTAAAGTGATTAAAAACAGGGCTGGAATGATAGTACAGTGGGTAGTACATTTGCCATGCATGCGGCCCACCTGGATTTGATCCTGGCATCCCATATGGTCCATCCTATACCACCAGGAGTAATTCCTGAGCATCATTGGGTGTGACACTCCCCCCTCGCCCCCCCGCCCAAATGATTAAAGAAACACCCTGGACCAGAGTCTTATGGGGGGGGGGGGTGTTGTTTTAGGCACTTGCATTACACTTGGCCAAACCCAGGTTGATCCCTGGTACTCTCTATGGCCCCTGAATACTGCTGGGAATGTTACCTGAGCATAGAGCCAGGCATAAGCTCCAAGTTTATTCTGGCGTAGCCCTGAAACAAAACAAGAAAAAAAACATCCAAATCATCTGACATAACTTCGGCATGTCAATTTTTTTCTCTGGTTTTAATTATGGTAAAATGAAAAGTCTTTTACAACATCTGATTACCTGTGTTCATTTGCAATTCAGTGTAGTTTTTTTTCCTTTGGTTTGTTTCTTTGCAAACTCTTGTGTCAAGGGCTGACCTTCAGTGGATTACCGCGAGGGAGCTGTTCTGCTACTATGAAACCGTAACCCAGAAGCAGGCCGTCTATGAATGGCTTAGCATTAGTGTAATTTCTTATTGAGTTATAATTCTCATTTCATAAAGCTCACCCTTTAATGTATACAAATCAGTGATTTTTAGTGCTCAGATATACTTGCATAATAACTCTAGTTCAGAACATTTTTATTACTCCCCAAAGAAACATTCTTTTAGCAGTCATTCATTGTTGTCATTTCCTAGTCTTTGATAACCACAAATCTCCTTCTCAGTAGATTTTCCTATTTTGGAAATTAAGGCATTTGCCTTGCGCGTGACCAACTTGGCCACCTGGGTTCAGTTCCTTTGCCCCTCTTGGAGAGCCCAGCAAGCTACTGAGAGTATCTCAGCCTGCACGGCAAAGCCTGGCAAGCTACCCGTGACGTATGTGACATGCCAAACACAGTAACAAGTCTCACAATTTGTGAGACGTTACTGGTGCCCGCTCGAGCAAGTTGATGAACAATGGGAGGACACTGCTGCAGATGTAAATGTGATTGTCTATATGTCCTATAGTATCTGACCCTCTAACTCAGCCAAACATGGACAAGGTTCATGCTATATGGCGTGTATCAGTACTGTGACACTTTGAATGTCTGAATAGTACTACATTGTGTATGTGTATGTATTTTGTGGGATCAGCTTCAGCAGTTGGTCCATATTTGGGTTGCTTCTACTTCTTGGCTATTATGAATGAAGCTATGATGATCTTATACAAGATTTTGTGTGACATATGTTTTTATTGTCTTTAGTAGATACCTCGGAATGAAATTGGGTATGTTTTTTGAGTCATAGTGTAACTCTGTGTTGAACTTTTTGAGCAGCTGCCCAGCTTTTCCACAGCAGGTTTTGTATTTCAGATTTGCACCAGCAGTTTATAAGAGTTTCAGTTTTTTCACTTTGTCAGCCATTTTTTTTGTTTTTGATATATTTTGGAAAGAGAAAAGTTCACTTGGAGTTAAGTATTGATTTAGAGAAAAATTAGGGCAAAGATAATAGTGCATGATTGCTTCTTGAGGGCAGTCTGCTAATATCAGTACCCTTTACTGAAAAGAACAAGATGAATTTTGTACCAGCAAATATTCAAATACTGTGTTTTATGGCTGTTTCATCTCCATTCTTACAACTGTTTGGAATCTAGAACCTCTTTAAACAAATTACTTTTTAGCCTCTTTGTCAGGCACAGTGCTTGGGTTTGAGAACAAAGATAATGATACAGATATTGATTCTGGACTTTTGACACTTTTTGTGCCACCAACAGAAACAAACATGAACATAATTACAGCCTGTAGTTCATATTATGAAAGTGGGATCTTTCCTACTGAAGGAAAGATTTGTAGAATTGGGAATTGAGTGCCACTGCAGATATATATGCATTTGTTTTTTAATTTTTATTATAGTTTAGGAAACGTGGTTGTTACAGTAGGGTTGAAATCTTTATGTTTTGATGGGCATTGTTACTGTACCACCACCAAGAGTTCTGAAGAACTCTGGCTTGTATAATGGAATGGAAATTTATTTGGATTATTTCCTGATTGTACTTATAAGCACTGTGAAGATTATAGGTATGCATATATCTTTAATTTTTTTAAAAAATTGAGTCACCATGAGATACAGTTACAGAGTTCTTGATTGGGTTCAGTCCTACAATGTTCCAACACTGGTCTAGCCTGTGTACATTTCCTACCACCAATGCCCCAATTTCCCTACTGCCACCACACCTCTCTCTCTTGGTGAGGTCCATCCTCATAAGGTGGAGTCAGGCCGAGAGTATGGGGGTGATTTTTGGATTGTGGAAGCAGGGGCTGCCGGGGGCCCTGCTTGGGCGGGCCCCTGACCAACCGACCCCCTTCGGTTTACCCCAGTCTGTTCAGCCATGCGCCAGTCCGATATTAACTGCAGCTTTTGATCTAGGTCAGGCTGCTGATGCACTTGCCCTGTCTTCTCTTTTAGTCAGAACCTTTTGCTTGGAGCCATTGGGTCTTTTCCTTCTCCTGCTCAGAAACTTGCTTAACCATACCCCTGCTTTTCTATTTAGTGGAAGACTATTTAAAAAGTAAGACTTTAGGGATTAACATTTCTGGGTTACTGGTAATGAATGCTATTTTAGTCAGATGTATTATAGATGAAATAGATTTGGAGCTATTAAAGGCTATGTGATTATTTGTATATTTCAGACTGGGTCTATAGTTTGAGGACTAGTTCTTTAAAATCTTTGATTTGTTTTTGTGTTTGTTTTTGTGTCACACTTGGCAGTGCTCAGGACTTACTTCAAACTCTGTACTCAAGAGAACACTCAGGGTGGTAATCGGGGGACCATACGTGGTGCCAGGGATTGAACACAGGTGGCTGTATAAGTGCCCTACCTGCTATACTGTCTCTTAATACAAGTTTTACCAGTGATTTCAATTCCTCTTTATTAGCTGATTGTCCTAAAAGTGAGTTACATGACAGTTCTCCAGTTATGAGTTTCTTTGAAGACTCTGTCATTATCTGGCATATTTTAATTTCATCCTGTTCACAAGTGATAGTTGTGATAAAGTACATGATTTATTGCCATTAAACTTAATAGTAAACTGTAGATTGCCATGTAGAAAGCGGATATGTAGATTCATTCTATTTAAAAAGTCACCGAGGCATGGAGAGTACCGAGGGCAAGGTGCTTCCTTGTTGCAGCTTGCTACCTTACTTGTTGAGCATGTTAGGTCACCAGAACAGCTGTAGCACCCGTTTGCATACATGTCTTGGGGTCTATGGGTTGGTTCTTTAGCACGCAAAACAAAACAATAAAACCAGAGAGTAGCTGGTAAAGGAGTGGCCTGAATTTCTCAGCCTCTCCCCTAAGAAAAGGAGAGAAAGCATCAAGCCTCTGGAGCAGGCAATATGGAGGATGAACCTGTGTGCTCTTTTTGAATGCAGAAGAGGCTGTGGTCAGCCTGGTGGGGACTGTGGAGGCCCTCAGAACTACAGGGACTGGAGAGCTTGAGCACCCAAGTGCGTTTTCTTCGTGCTGGAGCCCTGAGCACTCTGGGTGTGGCTCCCAGTCTCCCCCGAATAATCAGACTCAGAAGGCAGTCGCCATCTTAAAGGGACCCTTATAATGCTCAAAGATGTGCAATATTAAAAAACAAAATTTCAAAGATTCCTGAAAAAGGAATATGCCAAACATAGTAACAAGTTTCACAGTGTTACTGGGCCCGCTCCAGCAAGTCGATGAACAACGGGAGGATAGTGATAGTGATAATGATAGCAGAAATAATAAAAACCAGATTGACTAAAACTTTTTAATTCAGTGGTTTGTCAATTAAAACTATAAATTGTTCTAATTGTTTTTTTAAAAAGAATAGATCATGCATACTTTTAGATTAAAAATGTAAATGAAACAATGTAGAAGACTCAAAGACCCTTTCTTGGGAAGGGCAGTGTTCAGGGGACCCAGGGGCCATTTCTCATTGTTTACTTAGCCAGTTGGCCTTTTGGTGGATACTAGCACCTGAGTATGTGGTACTTTGGTGCCACCCCAGTGATACTTGGGGCTTCTGGGGCTACACGTGGCTATAGTGGGAGGGTGGTGGCTTGTGCTAAGAATCGAGGCCAACATAGGTGTGTGCAAGGCTTGTGTCCCAAGTCCTGCTCAGGACTTGTGATCAGCTCTGACTTGTGACCTTAGCCCATTAGCAATGAAGTGCAGCCATCCTTTGTAGTCTAGAATATCTCCGCATAGTCAAACATATGCCTCGACTGAAAAGACTACCATTTTGCCCTTTTTTTCTTTTTGCTTCAAAGTGTAATTATCTCAATTGTGTTTATCTACAATTGATAAGCCATCATTTTATAGCACAGTGGTAGGGCATTCGCCTTACAAGCGGCCAACAAGGCCAACCCAGGTTCGATTCCTCCGCCCCTCTTGGAGAGCCCGGCAAGCTACCGAGAGTATTTGATATGCCAGACACAGTAACAACAAAGCCTCCAATGGAGACGTTACTGGGCCCGCTCGAGCAAATCGACGATCAAGAGGAATTTGGGGGAGAATTCTTAAATTATGTTTGACTGCTTGTTTTTTGTATAAAGTGAACTTTACTCCTGTTTAGGCTTTTCTCAATCTCCAGTTTGAATGATTAGATAAAGTTGAATTCTTTGTTTAATTTCTTAGCCACCAAAGGATCAGAGGCTGGTGTACTCGGGCAGATTGCTTTCAGATCATCTGCAGCTGAAAGACATTCTCAGAAAAGTAAGTATTGTATACTCTTTAAACTGGATTAGTTCTGGTTTAGTTTTGTATATACATCTGATAGTTAAATCTTTATATAGAATTACATGTTTTTGTTTAGTTATTGATCATCTTGTACAAGAAAACACTATCAAATTAGTACAAGAGTAGTATTTATTAGGGAAGGATTTCATTGACAGCATTCGCATGTTGGACATTTCATAAGACTCAGTGCTCTAACCCCTGAGCTATGGAGCCCTGTCTTGGACACATTAATGTGAGTTGCTTAGGAGTTTCAGGTCTGGAAAATTTTGGTCTAATGAGAAAACATTGAATGCTGGTGCTCAGAACTAATAGGTATTTCAACATGCATTTTTAACAGTCATCTCATGATAGTTAATTTCATGGCTATTTTTAGCTTACATTCATGACAGGGATTTATATTCCTAGAACATTTCTGCATTTGAGGTGCTTTTTGTTTGTGATTGTAGCAGAAAATTGAAAACATTAATTTTTGTGTTTTGCTATAAATCTTTGTCTTAATGGTGTGTGTGTGTGTGTAGGGGGCCACACTGGGTGGCAGTGCTTGGGGCTTTCTCCTGGCTGCGAGCTGCTGACCCTTTGTCTTAATGGTGTGTGTGTGTGTGTGTGTGTGTGTGTGTGTGTGTGTGTGTTCCTTCTGGCTCCGAGCTGACCCCTTTGTCTTAATGGTGTGTGGGTGGGGCACACTGGGTGGCAGTGCTTGGGGCTTCCTCCTGGCTCTGAGCTGACCCCTGTTGGTGCTCAGGGACCATATGTCATGCCTGGGATCTGAATTGGGGTCAGCTGCATGTAAGACAAATGCAGGCTTCTGGCTTTGTTCTTAATGTTCTGGATATCAGGCTTTTGATTTAGAAAATCTCTATCCTTTCCTGTGTGTTTCTGTCTACCTGTGGAGAACTTAAACTCAGGCCAGTTTGACCCTTCTGTTTAGGTAGCTGACATTTAACTAACTTATTTGGCTTGGGGGGCACACCAGGCGATGCTTAGTGGTTACGTCTGTCTCTTTGTTCAGTAATTTACCCTTGGCAGTGCTTTAGGGGACCATGTGGGATGCTGAGGTCAGCTGGGTGCAAGAAGAATGCCCTACCCCCTGTAATAGTTCCGGCCTTGATAATTGGCATTTTAAGTTTGCCAGAGTGACTTTGCCAAAGTGTTTTTATTTTGGTCATGTAATTTCAGGTTGTCAAATGGTAATAAACTCTTTCAAAAATAGTGGAATTTGCAATAACTCCCTTCCTCTCTGCCTCCTTCCTCTAAAACTGTTCTAAAAACTGAAAGTCTGTTGAGAAAGAACAGTTTTAGATGTGCAGCAAACGAGCAGAAGGGGTGCTGGATTTCCAGTATACTTGCACCTGTGCACAGCTTCCCTGGCGTCAGCATTCCACCTCCGGGTTCATTTGTTAGAATTGGTTAAGCAACACTGTCTTAGTCACGGTCATCTGAACTCTATAGTTATTTTATTTTTTTAATTTTTGTTTTTGGGCCACACCAGACAGTGCTCAGGGATCACTCTTGGAGGTTCTTGGGGGACCATATAGCATGTTGGAGACTGAACCTGGGTCGGCCATGTGTAAGGCAAGCAAGCGCCCTACCAGTTGTACTATAGCTCTGACCCTAAAAGCCTGTAGTCTTGTTAGGGTTCACTCTTGCTGTAGCATATTCTGTGGATTTTAGTATTGTATAGAATAGTTCCATTGCCTTAACAATCTGATCTGTGAGCTACCTGGTCTATTTTTTTCCTCCTTCATGCTTCCCCTTTTGTATCTTTATTGAAATAATAAGCAGGGATAGTCTTCACAAGAATACTCTAAAAAGGTCTTTGCTGACGGAAGTGGTATTCAATCAAAAAACCAGATTGACTAAAACTTAATTCATTGGTTGATCAATTAAACTATAAATTGTTCTAATTGTTTTTAAAAGAGAATAGATCACACATACTTTTAGATTAAAAATGTAAATGAAACAATGGAGAAGACTCAAAAGACCCTTTCTTGGGAAAGGCAGTGCTCAGGGGACCCAGGGACCATTTCTTAGCCAGTTGGCCTTTTGGTGGATACTAGCACCAGAGGATTGTTGTACACTGTGTAAAGCAGTTGGGGGACTGGAGCAATAATACAGTGGGTAGGACATTTGCAATGCACACAGCCAGATTTTTTTTTTTTTTTTTTTTTTTTTTTTTTGCTTTTTGGGTCACACCTGGTGATGCACAGGGGTTACTCTTGGCACTGCACTCAGGAATTACCCCTGGCGGTGCTCAGAGGACCATATGGGATGCTGGGAATTGAATGCGAGTTGACCGTGTGCAAGGCAAATGCACTACCCGCTGTGCTATCGCTCCAGCCCCCAAATTGTGTTTGATCTCTGGTGCTCCATATGGTTCCCTGAGTTCTGCTAGGAGTGACCCTTAAGTGCAGAACCAGAAGTAAGCCCTGAGCACAGCTGGACGTGGCATAAAATCCAAGCCAGACAAAACAGCTGCATTTGTAAAAAGTTCAATTTTGAACAGATATTTGAATTTGTTTGCATTTTGAATAGACCTGAATTGCTTTTCTCTCAGTGGTGTACTGTTTTACTCTTTTTGATAAATGCTGCTATTAGTTTCATCTCATTAACTGATTTATTTATCTGTTTTGTTTTTATTTTTGGGCCACACCCAGCAGTGCTCAGAGCTTATTCCTGACTCTGTGTAAAGGAATCGCTCCTGGCCAAGCTCAGGGTACCATATGGGATACTGGGGAGAGAACCCAGTTTTGCTGTCTACAAGGCAAGCACCCTACTCACTGTACTATTTCTCCAGCCCCTGTGCTTCTCACATTGTGTAAAAGACTTATTTCTTGAATTGTACTCTTAGTCTTTCTCACCCTTATAATTCTCATGAGCCTTTTTATGGGAAGGAACTGATTCTTGAACTTCCTGGACTTACCTCAGAAGGAAGCATGTGTCCAGGGTTATTCTAGGAGGCTGCTGAGTTCTGTCTAGTAGATTTCTCTCTTTTATTAGTTGGGCATCTTTTCTTTTTGCCCCTTTATTATTGGATTTACTTTTTTTTTTGGACTTACTATTTTATTTAGTAACTGCAGTTGACAGTCTTACAGTACTATCAATAATAGGATTTTATATCTTTTAGACCTTGTGCTTTTCTTTTTTAAAGTTGCTATCTACTTGATTTCTGTCTTTTATTCTCCTTTTCCATTTTGTGTTATGCTTAAATGTAAATGTGTTTTGAGCTAAGTTAAATTCTTTCAGTCGTAGGAAAATTCCATAGGGTTTATGAAAACACATGCATGTTATTCAGATATACCCTTTTTGTTTATCTCAGATAAAAGTTTTGAGTTAAGAAAAATTATGTGTCTTGCTAAAATGGAAGCAAATAAGATTATTGTGAAGTATCTGACTTAATTAATCACTTAAAATCACTGACTTAATTATAACTATAAAATCAAGTTTTAGAAAAATTTTTACTATTCAAAAGTTTATAGGCATAAACTTCATTGTGACTCACAGTTCTAATAGCAGAATGGTTGTTTTGTATAGTAAAATAATTTTCTTGACACAGATTTACAACATTATTTAGGATTCCTTGGTATGCAGAGTAATACTTTTTATATAGCATATATTGAGTCCTTAACACCTAATAATATTGTACCTAATAAATACTCAATGTGAAAGTATTCACAAGAACACCAAATGCTAAAATATTTATTTAAATAACCACTAAATAAAGTGATTTTATAAAGAAAATTAAGTTTTGAGATAAGATTTTTGTGAATTGTGGATTTCCCAGTGTTGCCTTTAAATGTGCTCTTTAATTTCAGCAAGATGAGTATCATCTGTTTCATCTAGTGTGTACTACTCGGCTTCCTCGCTGTTCCTCAGAGTCCAGCACCAGTGGAGAAAGCTGTGAAGCATTGGCGGCCAGCAGCAGTAGTTCTGTGAGTTATCTGAGTTTCTGATTATCTTTCTTTTTCTAAAATCTAAGTGTAGATAACTATTGGGGTCCTGGCCAGTCGACCTCGGCACACTGGAGTACTATCCGGGTGTATCAACTCAGGCAAATGGTAACTGTTACGGCCCTCATCCTCAACCAGAGTGAGTAAGTGTGTGGAGAGCTGCAGCAAGCCCCTGGGCCCCGTAAACAGGGTCAGCTCTTGCTTTCGGGGGTAGGGGATTTGGTCAAAGTCTCAGGCTGGCTGCTGAGACCCCAACATCTCCCTCTTTTTTCTTTTATATAAGAGCCAGCTGCCGAGGGCCACCCAGACGCCTCACGCTGGGGATCGGGCCTTATCTTAGGTTGCCTCCTCTGAGGCCTTACCTGTCTCTGGCTCTCGACCCAGCATTTCTCCCCACGTGGCAGCAATGTTGCACTTTCTCGAACTTTCCATGACCACACACAACCAGGCCGCATCTCCTGGTTGAGGGTCTGCAGGTTTATCTACTGCATGGCTGAGCATCACCAGGGCCCCAAATTGGGTTCTTATCTGAACAAAGCGTTTTACAATACATGCATGGCCCAAGTGTTACAAGTAGCAATAGTAAAGACTGGCCTGGCCAAGGCAGACACAAGTGTGGTAAACCAGGGTGACATGCCAAACCATCTCTCAAACCATCCTTCTTGCGCCTCATGTTCTCTTTTTTGCTTAGCGAACCCATCTCGCAATTTAGCCGTAGAATCACATACAGCTCCGGTGTGGTCAGCATAAACACCACACCTGGATCGGTGCCTGTAGCATACAGTCTAAGTCCCTAGGTATTCCCGGAGTACCAGCTGGTGGCTGTTTTCCCTATCCCAGTAAAGCTCAGTTTCACAGGTAAACACTTTCCCTTACATTTTTCCCCAATCTAACCCACCCTATGTTTTTGAAACCTTAATAAGATCATTTTTGGACTGTGGCTACTGACCTATATATCCAGTACTAATGCAGTCCCAGCTCTTAAACCTAAGATACGAGATGATACATAATCTGATACAACTCCACATCTCCCATAGTTTCTTTTTCCTGGGCACACATAAAAATAATGCCTTTGGATTCCCACTTTAGGCCCTGGACCTTGACATCCATAGATCAAATTTGATTGTTGGGAGTCAGGTCGGGTTGCGCGCGCTCGTGGCGGATTCACATCAGGGAGGCCATGGCCATGATGGCGACATCGAGCTCGGTGCGAAAGTGGCTGCGCAAGGAGGAGGGCATGACCAAAGTGGAGTTCGAGACAAGCGAGGAGGTGGACGTGACCCCCACGTTCGACACCATGGGCCTGCGGGAGGACCTGCTGCGCGGCATCTACACCTACGGTTTTGAGAAGCCATCTGCCATCCAGCAGCGAGCCATCAAGCTGATCATCAAAGGCAGAGACGTCATCGCACAGTCTCAGTCTGGTACTGGCAAGACGGCCACCTTCAGTATTTCAGTGCTCCAGTGCCTGGACATTCAGGTCCGGGAGACGCAGGCTCTGATCTTGGCCCCGACGAGAGAGTTGGCTGTGCAGATCCAGAAGGGCTTGCTTGCTCTGGGCGACTACATGAATGTCCAGTGCCATGCCTGCATCGGGGGCACCAACGTGGGAGAGGACATCCGGAAGCTGGACTACGGGCAGCATGTGGTGGCCGGCACACCAGGACGGGTCTTTGATATGATTTGGCGCAGAAGCTTGAGGGCACGTGCTATCAAGATCCTGGTTTTGGATGAAGCTGATGAAATGCTGAATAAAGGCTTCAAAGAACAGATCTATGACGTGTACCGCTACCTGCCCCCGGCCACGCAGGTGGTGCTCATCAGCGCCACGCTGCCCCTTGAGGTCCTGGAGATGACAAACAAGTTTATGACTGACCCCATCCGCATCCTGGTGAAGCGTGATGAGCTGACCCTGGAGGGCATCCAGCAGTTCTTTGTGGCAGTGGAGAGAGAGGAGTGGAAGTTCGACACATTTTGTGATCTGTATGACACGCTCATCATCACACAGGCTGTCATCTTCTGCAACACCAAGCGGAAGGTGGACTGGCTGACGCAGAAGTTGCGCGAGGCCAACTTCACTGTGTCATCCATGCACGGAGACATGCCGCAGAAGGAGCGCGAGTCCATCATGAAGGAATTCCGCTCGGGAGCCAGCCGCGTGCTCATCTCTACAGACATGTGGGCCCGGGGCCTGGATGTCCCCCAGGTATCCCTCATCATCAACTACGACCTACCCAACAACCGGGAGCTGTATATCCACAGAATCGGGAGGTCGGGCCGCTACGGCCGCAAGGGTGTGGCCATCAACTTTGTGAAGAATGACGACATCCGCATCCTCAGGGACATAGAGCAGTACTACTCCACCCAGATCGACGAGATGCCCATGAACATTGCTGATCTCATTTGAGGGGCCGCTTGCCCTGTGGACCTGGAGTCTGGTTGCTGTCTGCCCTTTGGAAGGCCACAGGGGTTCTGTTGATCTGGTTTTGGGGGCCCCTGGACATCCCACTTGTGTTGCGCTGTGTCTTTTTCATTAAACTTTTTTTTTTAAAAAAATGCCTTTGGATCCCCACTTTAGGCCCTGGAGCTTTACATCCATAGATCACATTTGATCGTCAGGAACCAGGTCCTAGCCGGATGTTGTTCTGTGGTTGAGACCACCAATCTGTCACTGAGTTTCCAGGTGAGGTTGTGTCAGGTGGCTTCTACGGCTGGTGTCAGGTGGCATCTACTGTGACAGCAAGGAATGTCATGATCCAGAAGGGGAATGCCATCTAGAAATTAAGCAGAAGGGATATTCTCCTTAGGGGCATCATCACACCCCTGGGTATTGTTAGGATCTACATATTTGAGGGCCCTTGCAGGCACCCAGATAGGTTAGGGTTCAGAAATCGGGAACACACACCCAAAGCCTCGACCAGAGATAATGAGTGGGTCTGGGCCTCTCCATTGCCTTGTGGAGGCGGGGTGGGGAGGATCTCTAGGTAGGTGTTAGTGACACAGAGGCCTGGGAGAGTGTGTCATAGACTCCATTTGAGCTTGCATTGCACCTGCCAGAGTTTCTGTAAAGCCATCATTTTGATTCTCCAAGATTCTCCAAGGCTGTGGCTAGCGCCTGGATCTGCTGCGTAGATGATGCTAAATCTTGGGTAGCACATATCCAATTGTCTGGAGCCGGTTTTCATTCCTGTGTAAGTGGTCCTATGCTCCGTAGTCATGCCATCCCATACCAACAGTTTGATAAACTGATCTCTCAGATTCCCTGGGGAAACTTGTGCTCGATGTTCTTTTGGACCCTGTTAACAAAGGTTAGGAGGTCTTCCCCTATCTTTTGTTGCAGTCCACCTGGGGGAGCCTCAGTGGGATCCTCTTCAAGCTGCCAACAGGCTGATAACACTAGAGCATGAACCTAATCTCAATAAGGGTTCGGGATGGTAGCCTGCTGGAGGCCTGTGCTCCACTGATCTGCAGTCCCTGACAGCTGCCCATATGTTATGGGGATGGGGGGTTGGGCACCAGAATTACTATCTGCCTGTGTGTGGCATTCTTCCTTAAAGAAAGCACCCCAGTAATCCTCCAGTCTCGGGTTGGAAAAGGGAGCAGAGGCTCCTTCTGGAGGGGCAGTGGGGCGAGAGGGTTCAGGTCTGTCTCCCCTAAAAATCTCGTTGGCTATTTCATCCTCTATATCCTGATCAGTGAAGGGTGGCCCTGAAAAGGCTGCTTGCTTAGTATTAGGAGAGATGCACTCTTTCCTCCCGGAGGCATGCTTTTAGGGCTGCTACTGTCGCATACAAACCTGGTGGGGGATTTTTGCCTGTATTTTTGGCCTGTTCTATAACAAGCTTCTCTACCTGGTCCCAGGTGTCCCATGAGAAGAGGTCCCCAGTAGTAACTCAAGGAGACACACTAAGGATAGAGCCCCAAATCTTAGATGCCCTATCTTCAGAAAATTCTAGCTCCTGGCTCTTGAGCAGATAGTGCAAATCTTTCAAACCTGGGCGTTGCACCTTCTGAATGGAGTTGCCCATGATACTGGGAAATTGAGTGGGGTCGAGAAGGTCAGGATAGCTGTTGGTTCTACTAGGAGACCACTGAGGCAAAGGAGAGAATACAGAGGAGAGGTTCAGCAGCGTCCACAATAAATGGTGACGAGTGGAATGCTTGTCAACGAGTACCTGCCAGTTGCACAGTTTTTCTTCTGCGGGGGTGGGATGGGGGAGGTAGGGTGGGGGGTGGGGGGGGACGCGAGTGAATCTGGGACTCACAGCTGTGACACCCTTATCTTATTGTGGGAATCTTCAAGCGGTGGGAGCCCTAGTGGCATTTAAGTGCCCGACCCGTGTCTGCGGGGAGAAAGGTGGACATTGTCGGCTCGAAAAAACACACAGCAAGAATGAGGCAAGATGCCAAAAGAAGGATGATGAAGATGCCCCTGCGGCGAAACATGGATATGATAGATGCTAGGCACTCCATAGGTGGGGGGAAAAGCGAAAACAAAATGGGAATTGACCAAAATAGTCCTGTCTCGAGGAGGACTCTTCTGATAGTGTACCTCACTATCAGGGGGCAGAGCCTCAGTGCCCATTTATTCCCCTGCCTGAATTACCAGCTGGGTATCTCCAGTGCAGTCGCCTATTTTACTGCATGGATTCGGGGCGATCAGGGGGTCATACCTTGCTTCAGCGACATCTGCACTGTCCACGTCCACACTGTTCCCGTTCGGGTGCCAGATGTCGGGGCCCTGGCCAGTTGACCCCGGCACACTGAAGTACTATTCCCTGGAATTGCTGGACTTACTCCCTATAGAAGAGGGAGTGGGTAGGAGAGAAGCCCCTGCCCTGGCCCTCCGCGAAATGGCAGACTCCAGCCCCCTCAGAGAAAGAACCATGTGGAGGGGGGAAAGCTTGGTGATCAGTCAGCAATCCGTTTATTATTAGCTCTCACACAGGGGTTTTTATACATACATTTCAGGGGACAATCCACGTGTATCACATTCACCTCGTCTGACTCAGTACAGATGTTAGTAATGATTTACATCTCCCACTCTCAGGGCCAGGTGTGTCAGCTCAGGCAAATGGTAACTGTTATGACATTCATTCTCAACCAGAGTGCCTAAGTGTGTGGAGTGCTGGAGCAAACACCTGTAAACAGGGCCGGCTCTTGCTTTCAGGGACAGGGGATTTGGTCAAAGTCTCAGGTTGGCTACTGAGACCCCAACAGATAACAGATAGCAGCTGGAGCCACTGGCTTTTGAGATTGGGGCTCTGTGTATGTGTGTGTGTGTGTGTGTGTCTGTGTGTATGAAGCAAGATAGTTTTTATTGAAACTTATTTAGAAAGGTGCAAAGGGAGAGAAAAGTGCATGCTCAAAGAGAACATAGGTTGCTCCAGAGTGAAAATAAACAACCAGAAAAAGACTAGGCAAGTGTGATATGTGTTCAGGGGAGGATAGGGTTTTGAAGAGTAAGCCTAAAGTTAATGTTTTGGGCAACTCAAGTTAGCCATGATTTTTGTGTGATTAGTGTCTATATTTATCTTTCCAAGGACTGTTAGGAAATAAAGTATCAAACACAAATTTAGTTAAGTTCTCATTAATTTTTGTGGTTGAGAAATTTCAATGTGATTTAAAAATGTTTTAGAAATTATCTAATGGGACTGTGGAGATGCCCTGGTGGTAGAGTGCAGGCCCTGTCTGACTCCTAGCACCGTATGACTGTCAGAGTGTGCCAAAGGTAGGCCGTGTGGCCCTGGAGCACAGTCAGTCTTGGCTCTGATGGCCGTCCCCAGTTCCCGTACCAGTACCAGTACCCCTTAGTAAGAAAATTGAATAGAGGATGAGTTACTTAATAAAGTCTGAAATTATTTGTTCTAAAGACACTTTTCAGTGGTGCCAAATGGCTGGGCTTTTCTCCTAAGTTATAAATGAACTTATTTTTTACTTTGGCTTTGGCTATTCCTGGTGATGCTCAGGGCTTACTCCTAGTTCTGAGCTCAGGAAGCACTCCTGGTGGTGATTAGGTCATCATATAGGGTGCCAGGGATTGAAACCGGTTAGCTGCGTGCAAGGCAGGTGCCCTACCTGCTATACTATTGCTCTAGCCCCATAAATGAACTTCTTACTACTATTATTAGTTTGGGGGCCACACCCAATGATAACTAAGGACTTGCTCCTGGCTCTGTCCAGGAGTCACTCTTGGGGTAATGATGCTTGGGGGACTGACCGTATGTGATGCTGGTGCCAGCTGTGTGCCAGGCAAGTGCCTTATATCCTGTATTATCTCTCTGTCCCTGATTACCATATTATGGTGGTCCGTATAAGATGAAATCTTGTCAAGAAAGAAGTCTTTCCTGATTTATGTCACTAAGAATCGGACTCCCTAATAAAGCACTTGTTCTCTTTTTTGTGTGGAATAGTATTTTTAAAGAAAACTTTCGTTAATTTTGCAAAAGACCAGTGTCCTTTTTGGTGACAAAGCTTCAAGACATGCAAGAGCATACGCCATCTTCTTAAAAACAGGGTAGCAGGGCAGATCAGATGACTATGAGCAGACTTGGGAGGGTGCTAGAATCAGACCCAGCCTGTAGCGGTCAGAAGCTGTGCAAGGTGTCATTGTCTCGAGCTCTGCACAGGGCTGTAGCTGTTGCTGCTGCGCCTTGAACATAGAAACGAACCCGTATAACAAATTTACAAACGAACCCGTCCCTCGAAGGCAGATTGCTCTCAAGTAGGACAATCAAGGGGCTGTATGGTTTAAAGCTGTTGCGAAGAACTGACAGAATTTGAATATGGAAAACAAAAAATCCTGATTGAACAACCCCACCCCATAAATGAACTGAAAGGAATCTTGAAATTCTAGTTCAGTCTGGTTTTTTTTTTTTTTTTTTGGTATGAAAGCTGAGACTTTCTTGAGAGCTCATGTGGACCCTTAAGACTCAGTAGCTCCGTAACACCAGGCTTCAGACCACTCTTTCCCAAAGTGAACAGTGTTGCCCCTGGGAAGTACCAGAACCACCCAGGTGAGGTAAACAACTTCTGGGAGTTTGGTAGGATCCTGAGGGCAGGTAGGTTCATCTTTTGGTTTGTTCAGGTTTCCAGGGACCACTGGGTCTTCGTCGTTGTTGTTTTTGGATCACACCGGTGATGCTCAGGGGTTACTCCTTGTGGTGTTTTGGGGGACCATTTGGGATGCCAAGGATCGAACCCTGGTCATGTAAAAGGCATACTCCTCCCCACTCTACTATTGCTCCGGCCCCAGCCACTGGATCCTTTTTTCCCTGGAAAGGGAATGGTAGGTCATGTACATTAGAGAGTTTTTATTGATTCCAAGCATTTTTCCTTACTATTTTAAACCCCTGGGTTACCACTAGCATTGTTGCATAGTCCCAGGCATCTAACATATTTAAAAAAGTCATTTGTATCATCTGCTCAGCACTGTATGTATTAAACATCTGTGACTTTAATCGTCACAATTTAGTAAGCTGTTTTTTAATTTTTATTTTATTTCATTATTTTTTGTCTTTTTGGGTTTCACCTGGCAATGATCACAGGTTACTTTTAGCTCTGTCCTTAGGAAACACTTGTGGTGGTGCCCAAGGGACTATGTGGGATTCTGGGGATTGAATCCGAATTGGCTGCAGGCAAGGCAAAGGCCAACCTGCCATGCTATCGCTCTGGCCCCAGCTGTTCTTTTCTTTTTCTTTCTCTCTCTCTCTCTTTTTCTTTCTTTCTTTCTCTCTCTCTCTCTCTCTCTCTCTCTCTCTCTCTCAAATATATAGTTATTACTCAGCCTAATTGAAAAACGTAGTGTTGTATAACAAAGTAGTTTTGATAATCTGAAATCTTTTCATTTTCATCGCTTAAAATGTCTGTCTACTCTTGGTACAAAATTCAGATTGTAAACTAAAACTTCGTCATTTTGCAGAGGAATTTCATAAATATTTTTAGCAATATGTTGTACTCATGGTTATAGTTAATTAAATTTTGAAAAATTGATTACATTTTTGTAGAGTGCAGATCAATCAGGATCAACAGCTCCATCACCTGGTCAAGAAAACTTGCCTTTAGCTGCCAGTTCTTCCTCAGATGGGTTGAGGCAACGAACTGTTCCACAAGCACCAACCGACCCAGCACAGAGTCATCAGATCCCGTACGTGATGCAAGGGTGAGTGTAGTAGTGGGCAAAGTTACTTTGTGGACTTCGGAAAAATCAGTTCATCTGACCTTACTGATGTTTCTTCTGAGCTCATTAGCATTTATTCACTGCTAGTCAGGCTTGAGATTGAGAAGGCTAAGTAGAGTAGTGCAAAGGCTGGACACACCACAGAAGCATGGGCAACACTTTCCAGGGCCATAGGCTGTTGGTGTGAGGGGTGTGAAGGGTGTGCTTTGATTCTGTCTGTCTGGATTTGGAGCGTCTGCATTTGTAAGAAGCTCTCAGGTAATGCTGATACTTGTCTTACACCACTCCTTGAATAGCAAGGATTTAGGTGTTTGTATACTAAATACTCATATTAATGTTTTCTGGGGAATAGATGTGTGAATGAGAGCATTTAGTGGGGTATAATAATCTGTTCTTAAAAAATAAAAAGGTCTTGCCTGGAAAGACCTTTTTTTTTTACCCCAAGTGGTAGAGCACAAGCTTTGCCTAGGCAAAGCACTTATTTGAATCTTTGGCATTGCATTGCCTCTAGAGCTCTACTTGGAGTGGCTCTGTGCCCCTAGTGCCTGTGGATGTGGCCTCTATTTTAAGATGTTCTGGAGGAGTATCTGATCAGCCAGGTTCAGTAACATCAGGTAAATCCGATGAAGTATAAGGATATGCTAACTAACACTTATATTGAGAACACTTTATCTTGGCTGCCTTGTATTATGCAGTTATAGCAGACCTCTTGAATGAGGCATTTCTGGGAGTATATGCAGCCCACAATGGTAGCACAGCGCTCAGAGTTCAGAGAAGGCCTTGGAGAGTATGGTTTTGTCAGGGGTATGTCTGAAACCAAAGGACTTTACCGGATACCCTGTTCAGACAAATTCAAAATAATTTAAGCATGCATATCCGTAGTGATGATCACTCCACATTGACTCTCAAGCTATGGGACTGAGTATGTGACAATGATCCAAATCTGTGATGGTGAGCTTGGAAATGGAGATATTTCTAGGACCCCAGAATGGAGTGTAAGAGCTAAGAGCAGCCATGGGATGTTGAGCATAAATATGCAAATACTTTCACAAGAGCATTTAATTCATGTAGTGTAGAAAACACAAGGCTTAATATATCGCAAAGTAAAACTCATTTTTGTTCGGTTTTTTAAGTATGAAGCTTTTCCTCTCAAGGCAAGTATATAGATGAGATTGAGCCTTTTTAAAAGTACATAAGAAACCTTTTATTTTCAGAAAATGATTGCTGCAAACCAAAAAACTTACTTTCAGAAAACAGTGTTTATAACCCCTGCCGAGAAATAACCATTATGACATTTTTGTAATATTCAAAATGCTTTTTAAAGTATACTTTTAAAATAGATCACTGTTTTCTAAATCCTTAAAAAAAACCCCAAAAAACCAAACCTGCAGCATGAGGCCAGAGTGATAGTACTGTGGTTAGAGTGCTTGCACGTGGCGAGCCAGATGCAGTCCCCAGCACACCATATAGTGCCCTGAGACCTGTCATGAGGGATCCTTGAGCATAAGATCCAGGAATAAGCTCTGAGCACAGCCAGGTGTGGCCCCAAACCAGAAGAAAAAACAAACCAACCCCCCGCCCCCCAAAATTTCTCAAACAGAAAACAGAATAACTTGCAACATCACCTGGACATACCAGATAAAATAAACATCTATAGCATTTAAAGTCTGTATGATTCTTTATCACCAGAGTAGACTAGTTGGTCCATCTCTGTCATTGAGGAGTTCATCTATTGGTTTTACTTCTGAATTGCAGTGACTTAATACGACAAGTTTCTTTTTCCTGCTCAAGGACTGACAAGTTTAGTCACTCAGGACGGCTCTGCCTCAGAATGTAGATTTAGTTAAGGTCTGTTTCTTGCTTGTCATTCTCTTGTGGACCAGTAACTCCACATGTTCTAGGACATCACATGTTCTTTTAATTGCAGATGCCAGGAAAACAAGAAGAGAAGTAAGCCCTGAGCTCATTTAAAATCTCTGCATGTGTCAAATTTCACCACCATCCCACTAGCTAAAACAAGTCACCTAGCCACGCTCCACAGAGTTGGAATGGGGAGGAATTTCCAAGTTATAGTGCTGTGATGGTAAATGCTTCACAACTGTCTTTTTCTGGAGGAGAAATAAAGATAATTTGTAGCTTCTGCTGATTTCTCTGGTATTTAATACTTTAACCATGACTAGTTTTAAAACATAAAAGGTTGGATGTGCACACAATCTGATTGTAACATCTGTCACTCCATTAACCATTGGGTTAATTTCACTGTTTTGGCTGGCTACCTCACTGCTTCATCTTTGTCCTTCCTCAAGCTGTAAGCTTACCTTCCCTAGACACACACAGCATTCTGTGATTGAGGTGGATGAGTAGTGCCTCAGTCCCCACTAGAACCTCCAAACAAGCTCAGAATGCTAAAGGTTGGGGTTGGCTTACCAAATTCCTCAGCTTTGTAACTCAGTGTGAGCTTGCATCTGGCTGCCCTGTTAGTTTATGTCTAAGAGTGCGTGTTTAATCCTGTGACAGAAGAGGGCAGCCTTCTATCATAAGTGTTCAGGTGTAATAATTTTTCCACACTGAACATTATCAGAGTTAGCATTTTTAGATGTACTTATGTATTAGCAGTTATTCTTTCAGAATAGATTCTGAGAAGGGGATGATTTCTAGGTCAAAGTGTTGTTCTGGCTTTTGGACTTGAAGATAATTGCAAAATTTTAGTAAAGTGTTTGTATTGGACTGGAGAGATAATACAGGAGATAAGGCAATTCTCTTGAATTCTTGGCGCTGTATATGGTCCCCAAGCACTGCTAGGTATGACCTCTCTTGCCCCAAAACTTGTACTGTGATCTGGGGATGTGATTCAAAGTGACAGAGCACATGCTTTGCCTGTGTGAGTTTCTGGCTTAGGACCTCAGCATTGCCTTGGCCCTAAAGCACTACTTGGAGTTGTCCTGGTTGCCCTGAGTACTTAGTGGCTGTAACCTATAGGCATTGGGCTGGACTCTCTAACAGCTAATAACTACTAAATGCATTCACTGGGTCCAGAGGCCAGCTCAATGACTTACTGTTAAGGTTGAGAGTTCAGTTCCCAGTGCTGTCACATGTGCCAATTGTGATGATTCCGGCATCCTGTTGTCTAGGTTGCCTTATGACGCAGGTGGTTTCTAGTAACCCCACAACTAGATTATTGTGCTTTCAGGTCAGCCTCACACACCCACGCACAGATGTTTGAGTACCACAGCTAAATTGAGTGAGACCCCATGAATACCACTAAAGATGTGTGAACACCATGACCAGGAAGTGTGAATTGGTGGCCTGTGAGCACCCCAACTAAAGAGTATCACAGGAGTAAAGGAAGGCAGCCCTGGGAGTCCCTGTGGAAGGGGAAGGGGAATTCGATGAAGAATAGAGGGTAGGGCATTTGCCTTGCACGCGGCCAACCTGCGTTTGATTCCCAGCATCCCATATGGTCCCTTGAGCACTGCCAGGAGTAATTCTGAGTGCAAAGCCAGGAGTAATTCCTGTGCATTGCTGGGTGTGACCCAAAAACAAAAACAGAAAAAGAAAAAAAATCTTAAGAATTTTTTAGCATTGATCAGTGTAGGTATCTTAGATTCAAGGGGTCCCAGCCAAAATAGACCCAAATAGAAAAACTCCAAGATATATGGTAATCAGAAAGATAAAAGCCAGTTACAGAGATGGAATATTGAAAGCAACAAGATTGAAGAAGGAATTTACATACAAAGGATTCAGATTCAGATGTAAGATTCAGAGGTCGATCAGAGGAGACTTTATAAGTCAAAAGAGAATAGTGGCATAAAGTACGACAACTCAGTTGAATAAAATCCTCACCAAAATTATTCTATCCATCCTGATTTTCACTCAGATTTTAAGGGATGATTAGAAAGTTCATAGCCTTGAAACCAATTTTGCAAAAAGCAGTAAAGCAGCTTCATCAAAACACAAGAGAAACTTCACAAACATGTTATTCTATAGAATGATGGCACTAAATTCAGTGACTCAGTGTCTGTGTAATTGTCAGTGTCCCGAATTCACCAGTCAAGAGACAGTGGTAGAATGGATCAGAACGGCCCCAGCTTTCTGCTGCCTACAAGAGACATATCTGAACAGTCAGTAAATATGCTAAAAGTCAAAACTGGAAGATAATCATACAGGCAAACAGTTCTTTTTTTTTTTCCCTTTATTTTATTTTATTTTATTTTTTTTTTCAGTTGTAGATTTACAATTTTTTGTGCTTTGGTTTCAATTATACAATGATCAGATACCCATCCATCCACCAGTGCCCATTTTCCACCACCATGGATAATATCCCCCCCACCCCCATCCTCCCATCCCCCCCTGCCTCTGTGGCAGGGCAATCCCCTGTGATCTCTCTCTCCTTTTGGGTGTTGTGGTCTGCAAAAGAGGAATTGAGTGGCAAACATGTTCAGTCCATAGTCTACTTTCGACATGCATCTCCCCTCCTGGGAGGATCCTCCAAACATCCTTTATTTGGTGCTCCCTTCTCTATCTGAACTGCCCTTTCCTCTAGGATACCCGGCTGGCCTCTAAGTTATGGAGTAATCCTCCTGGTGCTGATCTCAGCTATTCTTGGGTATTATCTCATACTTTGTTACTTTATATCCCCCAGATGAATGCAATCTTTCTATGTCTATCCCTCTCTTTCTGACTCATTTCGCTTAGCATGATACTTTCCATATTGTACCACTTGTATGTAAATTTCATGACTTCATCTTTTCTAACAGCTACATAGTACTCCATTGTGTAGATGTACCAAAGTTTCTTTAACCAGTCATCTGTTCGTGGGCATTCAGGTTTCTTCCAGTTTCTGGCTATTGTAAAGAGTGCTGCAATGAACAAACAAGTGCAGATGTCACTTCGACTATACATTTTTGCCTCTCTGGGATATATTCCCAGGAGTGGTATTGCTGGGTCAAATGGGAGCTCAATTTCTAATTTTTTGAGAATCG